AATGCTCAGGAGTTGATCCTGTCTATGCACTCAGGAATTACTTCTAGTAGTGCTCTGGGGACCGCTGGGATGCCAGGACAGAACCCAGATTGGTCATGAGCAAGACAAGTGCCCTACCTGCTGTACTATCTCTTCAGCCAGGGAATGGAACTCTTGTTCCTATCACTTTATCCTATGGCAAAAAAAAAAAAATGGTTTGCAGTAAATTTTTTCACTTAAAGTCCTAGTTTCCAGGAACCTGGAAAAAACTCTGACTCTCTTTTATCTCTTACTCCACTCCTATACATATAGTCAGAATTGACAGGGAGTTGCAGAAGATCTAGTTCGATGTGCCTGGGACATGCACCAGCCTCGGCATGACATCTGAGACTGTTCAGTAGAAGTATTTCCAGAAAACAAACAAACAAACAAAAAGCCTCTGATGAATCTCTGACTTCTCTATATTATAAAGGAAGTTCTGGCCAATTGTTTAAAGAAAAATAGAAGGAGTGCTCAGGACTTAGTCCTGACTATGCTCAGGGATTGCTCCTGACAGAACTCAGGTACCATATGTAGTATAGGGGATCAAACTCAAGTCAGCTGTCTGCAAGGCAAACAAGGGCGAGGCAAGCACCCTACCCACTGGGTTGTCTCTCTTATCCCAGTTCTGCTTTTTGAACTTGGCAACTCTGCCACCTTGTATTGCAAGCAAATTTGGTCCCTATGACAGCCAGGGGTGTGTGAGTACCACAAAAAGGGATATAAATCCCTGAAAGCATGTAACGAAAATGAAATGTTAGTGCCACAGCCACAAAGTGTGACCCAGGCCATGTGAGCATGCAGTTGCCTCGCTGAGCATCACATCCAAAGTGGTGTGCCTCAACTAAGAGGGTGAACCCCATGGGCATGTGAGCAGGACAGATTGGGCAGGAGCGAGAGTACAACAGTCAGAGACTTGCCTTGCGTGCAGCCAATCTGGGTTCGATCCTCAGTATTAGCAACAGCACAATGCTAGGAGTAAGCCCTGTGCCCCACTGGGTAGGGCCCAAAGGGGAAAAAGTGTTTTAAATAAACAAAGAGCGGGGCTGGAGCGATAGCACAGTGGTAGGACATTTGCCTTGCACACAGCCGACCCAGGTTCGATTCGCAGCATCCCATATGGTCCCCTGAGCACTGCCAGGAGTAATTCCTGAGTGTAGAGCCAGAAGTGACCCCTGAGCATTGCTAGGTGTGACCCAAAAAGAAACAAAAACAAAAAAAATAAATAAAGAGGGACCAGAGCAATAGTCTAGGTGCTTGCTTGCTTTGGGTTTGACTGCCATCATCCCATATGGTCTTCTGAGCACTACCAGGACTGATCCCTGAGTGCAGAGGCAGGAGTAATCTTTGAGCATGGCTGCATGTGGTCCAAAACTCAAAAGGAAAGGAAGGAAGGGAGGGAGGGAGAAGGAAGGCAGGGAAAGAGGGAAGAGGAGGAGAGAAAGGAAAAGAAAGAGAGGAAGGAAGGGAGGGAGAGAGGGAAAAAGGGAGGAAGGAAGGAAGGGAGGGAGGGAGGGGGGGAGGGAGGAAGGGAGGGAGAAAGGAAAGATAAATCTCTGGAGCATCAAAGCCAAGTAGCAAGAAGCATGATCCCTGGAGTAACTCCTGAGGCACTCCAATACAGGGTCTGTATACAATCACAACATAAAGGGGAGGAGGAAATAAAATTAAACAATCACTAACTCAACTTTTTGAAGGCTGGAGAGATAGCACAGCTTGGAGCATTTGCTTGCCTGCAGCTGATTCAGGTTTGATCCCCAACATTCTACAGGATCTCCTGAACACTTCCAGGGATACTTTCTAAGAGCATTGACCCAAAGAAACAAAAAAAAATTGTTTTTGCTTTTTGGGTGACACCCAGCAATGTTCAGGGGTTACTCCTGGCTCTGCACTGAGGAATCACTCCTGGCAGAGCTGCAGGACCATATGGAATGCTGGGGATGGAAGATGGGTCAGCCACATGCAAGACAAACACCCTACCCACTGTACTATCTCTCTGGCCCCCAAAATTCAAATTTTTTTAAAAAATTTTTATTAGTGAAACACCATGAGGTACAGTTGTAGACTTACAAATTTTTGTGCTTGGGTTTCAATTATACAATGATCAAGTACCCATCCCTCCACCACAAAATTCAAATTTTTAAGAAAAAAAAAACAGATAATAAAGTTAAATCCGGGATAATCTCATTTATATGCAAAATTTCAAGTATATTGGGCCAGAATGATAGTACAGTGGGTAGGACATTTGCCTTGTACATGGTAGACCTAGGTTCAATCCTTGGGATCCTATATGGTCTCCTTAGCACTACCAGGAGTAATTCCTGAGAGCAGAGCCAGGAGTAAACCCTGAGCACCACTGGGTTTACCCCCCACAAATTCTTTTTCAAATATTGATAAAAGTTATCTTCTTAGTAATTATAACTCTCTCTCTGGGTCCCCGATTTTCTTTTCTTTTTTTTTCCCTTTTGTATTTTTGGGTCACACCCGGCGATGCTCAGGGGTTACTCCTGGATATGCACTCAGGAATTACTCCTGGTGGTGCTCGGGGACCATATGGGATGCTGGGAATCGAACCCGGGTCAGCCGCATGCAAGGCAAATGCCCTACCCGCTGTGCTATCGCTCCAGCCCCGTTTGCTTTTCTTAAGGTTAGTGACTGGGTGGGAGCCCTGGGTTCAATCCCTGGCACCACATTACCCCTGGAACACCACCATGGGCAATCCCCAAACCCTAAGCCAGGAGTAGATACCAGGAATTGCTCAGTGTGGTCCGAAGGGGGAAAAAGAAAAGACCTGGAAGTGGAAGCACACAGTAACTAGGAACATAAGGCTGTGTGCAGGAATGCAGGGCCCACTCACCTGTGGACGACAGAAGACCTAGGAACCTCTTTGGGCAGAGGCTTGGAGAGCATTCTCTTGAGAAGACCAAGTATTGATCTGGAAAAAAAAAACATGAATTCTAGAGTCAGCCACTGCTATTCAAGCCTGTGTCTCTCCATCATGCCATCTATTAAGAGGGATAATATGACAGCACTTAATCTAACAGGATCGCTAGACACGCTTTGTGCTTCATATACAGTAGCTGGCTTATAGGAAATATTCAATCAATGTGCTCTTTTTTTTTTTTTTTTGGTTTGTTTGTTTTTGGGCCACAACTGGTGCTGCTCAGGGATTACTCCTGTGGTGCTCAGGGGAAGCTGGGGATCAAACCCAGGTTGGCCGCATGTGTGCAAGGCAAATGCCCTACCCCCCTACCTGCTGTACTATTGTTCTGGCCCTCAATGTAGCTTTCTTGAACTGTTTTTGTGTGACTGGAGAGGCAGGGCAGGCAGAATGTAATAATGATGATACCTTGATGAGTTTAAACAGTTTGTCACAGTCAGGTAGAGTTTGAAGGCCTAAATGATTGCTTTGCAGGCAGGAGACCTGGATCTGATCTAATCCTTAGCATCCCATGAGCCCCAAGTTCCACCAGAAACAATCCCTGAGCACTGCCAAGTGTGGCACAAAAATAAAACAAATGAAAGCAAATGAAACATATATTCTGAGTACAGAGGAATAGAGCTCAATGGCCTTGCTGCACAACTCTAAATACCTAGTCCAGAGTTCAATCCTAGGTGCTGTCACATGTGCCAAAAGTGATGTTGGCAGCTCGGTTGTTGGGGCCTGGTATCTCCAATACCTGTGATTCCCTGGTGCTACAAGCAATTTCTGGCCATATCCCAGGCAAATGTGTGCATACACTGTACATAAAGTGGTTCAATCCCTGGGGAACACTAAATAAAAAAGAGATCTGTGAACTCCATGGCCAGGAAGTGTAACCATTGGTGAGTATATGTGTGAGCACTGCAGCAACTCCTGGCAAGCAGTACCACCACAGCATGTATGATACACACAAGAATGTGACCCCAGTGAGCACATGTACAAGCACCACAACTAAGGAGTGTGAGCCTTAGTGAACGCCACAGTCGAGAGTGCCAGCATCTAAACCTGATGTGAGACTTCCAGCAAGCACTGCAGACACACACACACACACACACACACACACACACACACACACACACATACACACACACAGAGAGAGAAATAAAACAGGAGGTAAGTTGTTGCTTTGGATATGACCTATTGATCATTTCTAGGTCATATATTGATCACGTGAGTGGTAAGTCAAGAATAGCTTTGAGCACCATAGGGTATGACCACGCCCCCATCCATAGCCAGAGAGATAGACCAGAGGATAAGGAATTTGCCTTGCATGCTGCTGATTTCTTTTCTTTTCCTTCCTTCCTTCCTTCCTTCCTTCCTTCCTTCCTTCCTTCCTTCCTTCCTTCTTTTTTTTGCATGCAGCTGATTTCTATCCAACCCTTGCTATCACATATGACCCCTGAGCACCACCCAGGAGTGATCCCTGAGTACAGAGCCAGAGATAGGAATAGTTTTTTTTTTTTTTACTCCTGTCTGCACTCAGGAATTACCCCTGGCGGTGCTCAGGGGACCATATGGGATGCTGGGAATCGAACCCAGGTCGGCCACGTGCAAGGCAAACGCCCTACCCGCTGTGCTATCTCTTCAGCCCCAATAGGAATAGTCTTTGAGCACCACTAGGTATAATTCAAAAATCCTCCCTCAACAACAACAACCCCCCCAAAAAAAACTGGGGGCCAGGGTGATAGTATAGTGGGTAGGGCATTTGCCTTGCACATAGCAAACTTGAGTTTGTTGACATCCACATGGTCACCGAGCACCACCAGAAGTAATTTCTGAGTGCAAAGTCAGCAGTAATCGCTGGGTCTGGTCCCCAAGTGAAAAAACAAACAAACCAACAAAAAAATTCCAATGACAACAAACAAAGAAAATGGAAATAATGATGCCGAGTTATGCTCAATAATTATCACAGGAAAAAATTATTTTGCAGCAGCCCTAATGGATTATTTGTATATGTATCTACCAAAAGTACATTAAATGATTATCCACTAAAGTGGTGTTCATAGAGAATTTTCCCACTGATAAGTATGTCATCCTTGGACAGAGGACATGCTAATCTTTCCTGCATTGTTCCAATTTTAGTATATGTGTTGCCGAAGTAAAGTGAGCACTATAGATAAGTTTTAGCATAAAAATACTGATGTATGCAATAGTTTTATTTTTATGAAAATAAAATGAAAATGCACTAACAATGTGGTCTCAGTTGTAAAAATATTCCCACAAGTAGAAAAGCATTGAAGGGAACAGAAACTAGTGCAATGGGTGAGGCACTTGTCTTGCATGTAGCTAACCCCAAATTGTTCCCTGCTATCACGTATGATCCTTTGAGCACTTCTAGCAGTGATCCAGAGCCAAAATTAAGCCCTGAACACTGCTGGATGTGACCCCAACCCTTTCCTCCAAGTAGATTGGTAGGGCCAGGGAGAAAGCATAGGAGCTAGGAGTATGTACCCAACCCTGGTTAGACCCCCAGAAGCACATTGCTCACTGAGCATCACCCGATGTAGTCCCGATGGTCTTCTGCATCACAGGGTCTAAGCAGCACTGCATCATCGGGTTGTTTCAATGCACTACTGGCCTGGTTGTCCAAATGTTTCCAGAGTTGCCCACGGGCCACTGAGCATTGCTTGGGGCAGGGAGGTCCAAAGGGAAAAACAAAATAAAGCAAATCAGAACTATGGAGGTAGAGCACATACCTTGCATGTGTAGGCCCTGGGTACCATTCCTGGAATTGAAAATTGAAAAATTAGAGAGGTTTTAATTTTGTTTCTAATCTTGTTGTGAAGCACAGTAATTCCTCACTGTAAGTATATTGCTCACATTTCTTTCATAATCATAAGCAATAATGAATTTAATAATATAACCAGTGGCCAAGAAACTCAATTTACTCCTTTCTCCCTCTGGGAGCTTTTCGGCTCTTCAGCCTCCTATGGAGAAAAAGCATTTTCCCTTGCTTATTAGAAAAGTCCCAGTCATGCCAAATGGTTTTCTGGTGCACAGATAATCTTTTTCAAGCGCCATGGGCATTTCAGTTTCCTGTTTACCCAACAGGAGCAAACACCTTAAAGGCACTTCCCCTCACTGACTGTCATATGTCAGGGCCTGGTGTTTATCATTCATTTAGCTAGCCGAAGGGGCATGGCTAGGGCAGATGGCAGGCAGCATGCATTTGTCTCTACCACCCATCTTTGTTCTTCTTGTCAGTAGTGAAAGAACAACAATTACTTGGGGGATTTTTGTTTTGGAGCCACACCCAGCGATGCTCAGGGACTATATTTGACTTGGTGCTCAGGGGTTGCTCCTGGAAGTTCTTGGAAGTCATGTTGTGCTAGGGACTGAACCTGTGCTCCGGCGCTTCCAGCTATTTCCTTGCCATGCTATACCCCTCACCTGCCTGCACCACCCCTCCACACACACACCCAATTAAAAAAAACTTTTTTTTTGTTTTTGGTTTTGAGGCCTCACCCAGTGGTGCTCAGGAGGTACTCCTGGATCTGCACCTAGACAGCATTTCTGGTGGTGCTTGGGGGACCATATGGGATGCCAGGAATCGAACCAGAGTCAGCTGTGTACAAGGCAAACATCCTGCCCTCTGTTCTGTCTTCAGCTTTTTTTTTTTTCTTTTTTGGGTTACACCCAGCAATGCACAGGGGTTACTACTGGCTCTGTGCTCAGGAATTACCCCTGGCGGTGCTCAGGGGACCATATGGGATGCTGGGAATCGAACCCGGGTAAGCCACGTGCAAGGCAAACGCCCTACCCGCCGTGCTATTGCTCCAGCCTCTCTTCAGCTCCTTTTATCTCAGTGTTTTGCTTGTAAACTTTGCTTATGGTGTCTTTGTGCTTAAGAGTTTGGAAAATTTAAATCTCTTGTTCAAGGGCCAGAGCAGTGCAGTGGATAGGGCGCTTGCCTTGCAAGTGGCTGACCAGGATTCAATCCCCAGAATCCTGTATGGTCCCCCAAGCGCCAATAGGAGTAAGCACTGACAGGAGTAACCCCTGAGCATCACTGGGTGTGACCCCAAAAGTAAATTAAATAAGTAAATTTTAAAAAATCTCTTGTGGAGCTGGAGGGATAGCACATCAGGCTGAGCGTTTGCCTTACACGCAGCTGACATGGGTTCGGTTCCCAGAATCCCATATGGTCCCCCAAGCAGCATCAGGAGTAATTCCTGAGTGCAAAGCCAGGAGTCACCCCTGTGCATCACTGGGTGTGACCCCCAAAACCAACCAACCAACCAAACAACCAAACGAAAAAATCTCTTGTTCAATTTTATTAACCTAAAAGAAATTATTTGTACGGGGGCTTTGGGGCCATACCTGGTAATGAGTGGGATGTAAGGCGAGTCCCTTAACATCCATACTATCTCTCTGTCCCTTGTTCCATTTTTTTTTGTTTTTGTGGTTGCACCCAACATGCTCAGGGATTACTCCTTGCTTTGTGTTCAGGAATCACCCTATGGGGAGCCAGGGATAGACCCCTGGTCGATGACCTGCAAGGCAAGCTCTCTACCCTCTTCTATTCCTCTGACTCCTCAATTTTAAACTTATTTTATTTTATTTTTTTGCTTTTTGGGTCACACCTGGCAATGCTCAGGGGTTACTCCTGGCTTTGCACTCAGGAATCACTCCTGGAGGTGCTTGGGGGACCATATGGGATGCTGGGAATCGAACCTGGGTTGGCCTCATGCAAGGCAAACACCGTACCCGCTGTGCTATTGCTTCAGCCCCTAAACTTATTATTATTTTTTTTGTTTTTGCTTTTGGGTCACACCCGGCGATGCACAGGGGTTACTCCTTGCTCTTCACTCAGGAATTACTCCTGGCAGTGCTCGGGGGATCATATGGGATGCTGGGTATCGAACCCGGGTTGGCGTGTGCAACGCAAACGCCCTACCCGCTGTGCTATTGCTCCAGCCCCTTATTTTTTTTAATAGTGTGTCACATCCGGGAATGCTGTGTGCCGGAGGAGTGGTATGCATACCAGTTATCTAAACCCAGAGTTTTCACACATGAAAAGCATGTACTCTACCACTTCAGGAGCATCCCTGGCCCCATTTTCTTAGCTTTTTATGCTAACAGTCAGGGTCAACAAGTTGATTGGCAAGAAAGGACATCATTTGCAGAAAAGAGGGAAAGCATCTCTCTTTCTCATTGTGGATTTAATTAAAGTGTATAAAAATAGCACCTGAGCATGACAGAGGTCAATAATAATAATGATAGCTAACAGTTATTAAAATTATGATGATGATAGGGCCCAGGGGTGTGGCTCAGCAGTAAAGAACATGCATATGCATGAGGCCTGGGTCCGTTCTTTGGCTCTAGAATAAAAAAAGAGGATGGCATTTTGAACCCTTGAAAATGATAGAGGCCTAAAAACGGGGACGGTACTTGTTAACAGACCTCGGGCGGGCGAAGGCTTGCAGAACTCAGGTGCGGCGTTATCCCCGATCCCTCAAGCCCGCCTCCTAGGACTCCGCCCCCCGGGCCCTGGCCACGGCCGAGACCTTAGCGTGAAGCCCAGTGCCAGAAGAGTGGGCAGCGCGCGTGACAGACGCGCGTGATGCTGGAGGGGCGGGGCCGAGTGGTAGGGCGCGCCGGGATAGGACGGAGGTTCGCGCGGAAGGGGCGGGGCCGGCGAGGGGGCGGGACTTGACCGGATCTGGTCCCGGGCTTCCGCGTGCGTTGGTCCGGAGGGCGGGAGCGCGCGGCGGGGGCGTGCCCGGGGCGGGGCGGGGCCAAGCGGGGGGCGGGGCGGCGCGCGGCCTAACGGCGGCGGCGGCGGCGGCGTCGGCGGCGGCGGCGGCGGTGGCAGCTTCGGCGGCGCCTGGGCTGGTGGCGCTCGGCGGCTGCAGGTCCCGCGGCGGCGGCTGAGCGGGACCCGGGCCGCGAGAGGAGCCGGAAGGCGCGGGCCGGTGTGGCCGGGGGATGGTGGGCGTCCCCGGAGCGGCCGCCTTCCAGCGTAAGCGAGGCGGGAAGGAGGGCGGCCGAGGGGGGCGTGTGAGGGGCCTGCGGCGGCTGCCACGGGCGCGAGGCCGCGGTGGGGAAACTGAGGCCCGGGGCCGCGCGGCGGATCCAAGGTCACGCGGCGGGCCGGGCCTCCCCGGGCTCGCCAGGCGGCCCCGCGCGTGCCCGGCGCCGCGCCGACGGCTCGGAGTCGGGCTCGGGCTCGGGCGCGGGGCGAGACGGGGCGGACCGCGGCCTCGACGCCCAGGCCGGGCCGGCGGCCCTCGGACGGGCCCGCCGAGGATTGTTCTGTGTTTCCGGCGCGGAGGCCCCGAGCCGGGCGGCGGGCGGCGCGGCGCGGCGCGGCGCGGCGCGAGGGCCGGGGCTGCGTGGCCGAGGCGCTGGGGGCGAGGGCGGCCGCGCTGCCGGGGCCTGCCTGCGGGGCGCGCGGGTCGGGTCCGGCCCGGCCCGCCCGCTGCGCGCTGCAGCCGCACTCGCGGCTCCCGGCCTCAGTTCCCTCATCTGTGAAGTGGGGGTGCCCCGCCCAGGGCGTCTGCAGACGCCCCCTCCCCCCCGGTTTCGGGCACGCCGGCAGAACGCTTGGCCCGGACTCGGGCACACAAAAGCACTGCCCGTTTGTAAGTCGCGGGTGGTCCGTGTCCACTGTGACCCTCCCCCGGAAAGCTAGACACTGGGGCTCTGGTGGTTTATTTTGGATGGAATTGTGTGTGTGTGTGTGTGTGTGTCTGTCTGTCTGTCTGTCTGTCTGTTTCTCTCTCTGTCTCTGTCTCTGTCTGTTTGCCTTTCGGTTCTGGTCTGGCAGTGTGTTTTGCTCACCTCCGTGTCTTCAGTCCTGCCTTTTATCTCGTGTTCCTCCAAGAATTGTGTGCTGACTATTGGGGGGGGGAGGGAGGCATGGGGGAGGTAGGGGCGGGGTCTATTAACAGCAAAATTTTAATTGTTCCTTGTTACAAAAGCAATTATAGCCTGTGTTTTTTGAGCACCAGGCATTTTGCTTTCTATTCATTTAATATTTATTAAATCATCTATTAAGTAAGAAGTACCATTCTCAGCTCTGGGAATACGGCCGCGAATCTGTTAGACTAAACTTAGGTGAGCTTTGAGTTTTGATTGGAGGAGGGGAAGGTAGCGTAAATTAAACAGATAAATACACTTTGTGTGTTTTACATAACCCTGGTGACTACAATAGAGTTGAGTCTATTAATGTGCCCATCCTGCAGTGGAGAAAACTGAGAGACAGGAACCCTGCAATCTAGTCTTAGAGCCAATATTTCTTACATAAGGCGTCTTTCCATTGCCACTTGGAAGTAGATGACCCTGCTAATAACGCTTTATAGTCTAGCCTGAGGTTGCTGCTTTTGGTCATTTGATCAGTTCCTTTTGATGTTTATAATGAGAAATAAGATAAATAATCCTTTATTGTTTTGAATTTTGGGATCATACCCCGCGAGTTACTCCTGGCTTTACACTAATTAGTCCTGGCCGTTGCTCAGGAGAGGTATGGGATGCCAGGGATTGAACCTGGGTGGACTTGTGCAAGGCAAACACCTACCCACTGTACTATTGCTCCAGCCGCAGTAAATAACCCTTTAAATTTTTAAAAGGTACATCATCTTAGTAGTGTGAAAGAACATAATTTCCTTTTTTTAATGTTTTAATTTAAAATATACTGCAAAGTACAACTTCTTATTCTATAACAAAGTTTTATTTAGTTTATTTTAATGTTCTCAGAGAGCTCTATTATATTCCTAGGCATTATACTTTTTCTTTTCTTTCTTCGTTGAATTTTTTGGCTTTTTCGATGCTTAGGGGATTCTCTTGACTCTGCATTCAGGAATTACTCCTGACAGTGCTCAGGGAACCATATGAGATGCCAGGGATTGAACCCGGGTCGGCTGCATGCAAGTCAAATGCCCTACCTGCTATGCTCCATTCCTACTCTTTTAATCTGGAAGCATATAGTAAGTTGCATTAAAATACTGAGATGAATGTTTTCAGCAAGTTCGCATGATACAGTTAGATTGACCATCTGCTATGCATCAGTCCCTGTGTTGACGTTTGGATTGCAAAGATAAATAAGAGCAGACTCTTGCCTCTGGAAACTTACTGATAGTCTTGATTGGCTAATGTTTTTAACTGAAGTGCTGGGAGTGAGGATGTAGATGCTCAGGGTCCCTGGGGGAAGTAGTCTAGAGCAATGGCCTCAAGTGTTTTGGTAAATAGGGTTGATGTTATGTGAATGCTCTTTCCATCATTGATAGTGTTGACTGTTCTCACTATTACATATATTTGATAATTTTTGGTTTGGTTTGTTTTTGGGTTACACCCAGCGAACTCAGGGCTTAACTCCTGGCTCTGTGCTCAGGATCACTCCTGGCAGGGCTCTAGGGACCGTAAATGGTGCTGGGGATCAAACTTGAGTTGGCTATATGCAAGGCAAAACCCTTTTCGCTGTGCTATCACTCCAACACCGTATTATGTATGTTTTAGAATGTACAGAAATAAAAGCTTTACAAAAGGATGAGCTAAAGTAAATATAATTAGAAGTTCCAATATTGTCTTTTCACACCCCAATGTGTGAATAACAACTGTTCCTCCTGGGGTGCAGACCACTGACTTTGTAGTTGGTGAAAGCTTCCCCTCAGTTTGTTCTGTTAAATTCGATTCTAGAATTTGTGCCGAGGTAAAAATCTTGGGTTTCAGTCCTTACTAGCTTTGAGATTTTTGGCAAATAATATAACCTTTCTGCTCACTTTATTTCCTTCATCTATAAAACTGAGATGAGAATACCTACTTTATTTGCAGTTTTATTGTGTTGATCTTACTGTCTAGTAAGGGCATAAGTAAATGAATAATGATAAAGTGGTTTTTTTTGTGTGTTTTAAGGCAAAGTTTTGGGACTGCAAAGGAGACATATTTTTTGGGGGCTTCGAGTGAAATTCAGCTAAATCTGGGAAGGATGGGGCCTTTGTTTAGGAGTAGTAGGAGGAATGAATCTGACTGACTGAGAGTGAAAACTTGGAGGATACTGAGGGCTTGCCAGGTAACTTTTCAGATCTGGGTTTCAGGCAACCTGATTGAAGCTTGTATACCTTCTTAATAAGATAACTGAGATCTGGCTGGAGTTGTTTCTGGCTCCAGCCAGATGGCAGGGAATTCTGTTCCAGCACTTTTCACAGCACCATAGCTCTTTACTCTCTGGTGGCATTTAACCTCATTCTCCTTCTTAGTTGTTCAAGATTATAAACTCCTAATTTAAGGTCCTTGATGTTTTTAAAAGCCTTTATATTTTTGTGGTTTTATTTTGAATAGCAAGGTTAGTGTGGTGAGAGGTATCTAAATCCTTCAGGGGCTGGAGGGATGCACAATGGGTAGGGTGTGTTTGCCTTACATGCCAACAACCCAGGTTTCATCCCTGACATCGCATATGGTCCCCCCATGTCTGCTAGGAATTATTCCTGAGCATAGTCAGGAATAAGCTCAGCATTGCCTGGTGTGGTCCCGAAACAAAAATAAACAAAAAATTTGTTCTTTCAAAAGAATTTTGAACAATTAAAAGTGAAATGGTAAATGGTGATCACGATCACGCTCATCCTCTTGTTCGTCGATTGTCTCGAGCAGGCACCTGTAACGTCTCCTTCTACCTAGCCCTGAGATTTTAAAAGAGCCATTTCAATGCTCTTTCAGGATTAGGAGGATGAGACCCATCATTGTTACTGGTATTTAGCATATTGAGTACGACACGGGAAGTTTTGCCAGGCTCTGCCGTGCGGGCAGGATACTTTTTGTTGCCTGCCAGGTTCTCCAAAGGAAAGATAATAAGATGTCGTGCGGCCGCAAATGTGGCCACGCGCTTCTGGGAGCTGGGTTTTATAGTCTCTGCATCTTGGCCATTGATAGGACCAACCTGGCGCTGTCGGCAGCTGGTGGATGTGACGCCTACCTACTGGAAGATGGGGGGGTCTGGGTGGAGAAGGCCCAGTCCCAATCCGGGTAGGCTTGGAGGGAGACCTCAGCCCCAGGACCTGCATGCCTGGGTTCCTCTGCTAGTTCTTTCATGCATGAGGCCCGTCCGGATGTGTGGAGAGTGGTCCCAGCATGGCCGTGGCTGGCTCCGGAGGTCCTTAGCTGCTGGGGCTCTGCTTGGGGCAGGGGAGAGAAACTCAACCCTCTCCCCTCCAAGGGGTCCCGGTGAGTACAGCCAGGTGCGGGGGCAGGAGACTGCACTGTTCTTCTCCGGGATCTGGGTTTTATAGTCTCTGCGTCTTGGCCGTTGATGGGACCAACCTGGCGCTGGCGATACTTCTAGTAAAAAACTTGTTTAGTTTTTTTTTTTCATACCCAGTGATACTTAGGGCTTATTCTGGGATCAAGGATCACTCCTGGCGGCTCAGGGTCCATATGTAGTGCTAGGGATTGCTTTGATATTTTATGATAGCTGTCCCTGTGTATACTATTCAAAAGGAGTGCAAAATGTGGGGTTTAGTAACTCCTTTTTTTTTTTTTTTAATTCTTCCCTTCTTTTGTTGTTGTATCAGTGCCTTAGGCTCATACAGTGTTTACTGGGGATCACACTCTTCAGTTATGTTGCTCTTATACATTCTGGTAGTGATGCTTAATAGTGGTTGCATGCTCCCTGAGCATTGTGCTCTTTAGTTGTGCTTGAACACACCTGGCTACAGTCTGCTAGAGCTCACACATTGTTTTGCAGAGCTGAAGGTCCTCAACAGTAGCGCCACTGGGTCTGCTTTGGGTGCTTGTGGTCAGTGCTGAGGATCTCTTTATCTCATGCTTGCACAGCAAGTGCTTTTGCCACTGAGCTATCCCCTGGACCCAGTTCAGTAACTCGTTATCTTAGGCATTAGAATAATAGAAGGGCCTTGGAGATAACTCCAAGGGTTGGAGCAGAAGCAAATTTGATCCTGATTACTACTTGCACCACATGGTTCCCCAGCTCTGTCGGAAATGTCCCCTGAACACACTGGGTGTGGCCCA